CGACTACAAGCCGAGATGCAGTTCAAGATGAGCCGAGGGGAGGCTGTTGACTGGTAAGTGTGGGGAGAGAGGAGATGGGCATGCTTGTTCTTTGTGCAGTTGCGAGGCGGTGTCGCGTTTTTGTTAGACCCGGTTTGCGCCTGCATTGTGTATGTTTATGGGTACGACACAATGTTTACGCCAAAAAAAGAAAAGAGAAGAGAAGGAATGTGAAATTTGCGAATTGATTGATTTAGATTCATTTGAAAAGCGCCATCAGGTCCCCAAGTAGTAACATACAAGAACTAATATCCCTCTTCCCCACAGGCCTCAAATCCACCGCGCAACTACAATGGTAACAAACTATATAACCTCCATCCACCTCCTCATCAACGGCGGCTTCCGGCACCAAAATAAGCTCGTCACGCAGAAACAGCGGATCCCGTCCAAAGACGCGGCTGGCAACCACGTTCTCGACGCCGGCGGCAACGAGGTGTTTGTGGAACGCGACGTCCGACGGCGCCTCATTGCGACACAACCGCTACCGACCAACACGGAGAAATTCCAAGCTCTGCATCCGTTTCCAAACCCGCTGTACCCGATGAACGCGGGGGGCGGCATGGCGGCGGGTATGGCGGGGACGCTGCTGCGGAAGCGACTGGAGCCCATGGAAGAAGGCTGGGTCGAAGACAAGATCCGCAAGGCAGCAGAGTGGCTATACGTCCCGGAAGAATGGGGCGTAGACATGAACAAGAAAGTCTCCAGCAAGCAAGAAAAAAGCGAAAAGGAACAAGATGACGATGATGACGACGATGCGGGGGTCCCAGAGTCTGAGCGCCTCGACTCCGAAGCCATACCTACGACGCGCGTCAAGGATGTGCTTTCGGGGGATGCGATTAAAGATATTTGGCAGCATGCGCACCAGGAGGTGTTCGATATGAAGTATCTGCGGCAAACGTATCCGGCGAGTTACCCTGCGGAGGATGCGCAAGATGCGAATGAAGGGGACGAGGAAGAGGACGATGAGGAAGAAGGGGATGAGGAGGAAGAGGAAGAAGAGGAGTTTGAAGATGTCATGGATACGTCTGGGGGTCAGGACGCGGGAGATGAGGAGTCGGCTAAGCCAAAGATTATGAAGAAGAAAAAGGTGGTTGTGGGGAGGTTGCCGGTGCATCAGGCGGTGCCGGGTGCGCCGGTGTTTTCGCTGGGCGTGGTACAGAGATTCACGGAGACGGGAGAGGTATAGACGGGTTGGTGGTGAAGGGGGTTAACTCATTGTATGATTGTATATATCGTCTTGACCCCGCATTCTATTTTACATTAATTTGAGGAGGGAAAACAAGGGTTGGGTATCATGCTTTTTCTTTGGCCTATGTTCACTCCGGTCTGAGTGCGTACATACGCACGGGGAACAATTCCTTCGGCATGCCTTTCTGCTGCTCTGTGGCAACAATATTCAGGCCAGCCTGTTGGAAGAGCATACGAAACTTTGCGTCGGACCGTGTAACGCTTGAGTCTTCGTCGTCGTAGATATCCTTTTGCTTGATGTCCGTCGACATGTTTTCCTTGACAATGATACAGCTTCTAAATGTGTCCTGGCCTTCTGTTGCTGGTTTGAGCCCTTGCTTGCAGCGCTCGAGGTAGACAACTAGCTGTGCGTCGGTCAAGTGTCCGAGACACCACTGGTTCCAAATGACATTGTACGCGCCAGGCTCTGGTATCCAGTCCTGTAGACCGAGATTGATGATCTCACCCAACTGGCCTCTTCCCTCCTTTTGTTCCTCGCTGGCTATGCTTTGCACCAGCTCGTCGGTAAACTTCTTGACGGGCTCCACAACATCGACCTTTTCGCTCACGCCCAGCAGCAAACCCTTTGTTATGCGGCCGATACCCGCGCCACAGTCGGCTACACGCTGCAGAGGCGGCAGGGGTTCCTTGGAGGCAGCACTGGCTCTGCCGCGGCGCAGCTTTGTGAGGAAGTTGGACGAGCCTTGCAAATCAATGCGCGTGGTCTGGGGGAAGCCGCCAAGCATGCCGTTCACGTCGGCCGAGACGCTATTCCAGTACTCGAGCGAGTGAGCGACGTCTATCGAGGCGTCTGGGCGCTCGGCATCGGGGGGCGAGGCGGACAGTGGGTCGCGGGTCATGTCCATTGTGGAGTATGGGCAAGTGACGAGAAGCTTGAGGAGAATCTGCGGCAGTTTGAGCACGTGAACCTTGACGGTTCTTTTCTGGAAGGCTGACATTGTTATACGGTTTATTTTTTCCTTTTCTTCCCTACAGCGGGTTTCCCTGGATTTAACTGGGCGCTAGGCGGGTGGCATTGATCAGGGAATTTTTTTTCTTCCAAAGCGATCGGCATGAGGGCAGAAGTTTTGGAAGTCGATATGTACAATGACGCGAGCGGGAAGCATGGTGGGGTAGCTTCCGCTGCTGTCTGCCAATGACGAGCGCCCGAGCGTGACGACTGCTGTGCGCTCCAATCACCTAGCAGCATACCCCGAGTGTGGTTCTCGTTTATGGACCAGATAGGCATACCAAAGTATGTATAACTGTACGCGAAAACAATGCAGAGCGTCAGCTGCGTCGACGGTGGCACGCAGGAGTCCAATAAGATGAAGAGTTGCCGAATGCATCCACTATCAATGATGCATACAATATAGTAATAGCGAGTCGAGTGTACGATGGATGGACCAATGGCATTCATCGGCATGAAGAGATAGCTTAGTATGACAAATGACCTGAGGGTTTCGGAGGATGTGTAATACGAAAGTCATACAGAAAAAAACAAACGATAAGTACAGCAGTACTTACAGCGCGCGCGGAGAGACCGGAGAGACCAGGATGGGGTTCAGGTGATGATAATGACCAAGTCGAAGCATTGGCTAGTATACCATTTTCGGCGCTACTTTGTCCTCGACCGGCAAGAAGAGTAGAGCCGAGCCTACTGGGTGTACCTAAGGACAAGCATACCGGATGCTGGAAATGTGTAGTAGAGGTAGACAACAGAGGACAGGCGTCTGAAAAAGGCAGTTGCATGCGGTGGGGCTAGCCCTAACTGCCTCATGGCGGGGTCCGCAGATGCCGATGGTACTACCGCACTCATCACTGGCCGGCGTAATAGATATCTGCACACTATAGATAACTGGCCATGTCTGCGTCAACAAAGGATATGACCCGTATCTACTCGGCCTTGACCAGAGCTTCACTCCGCCGCCCTCGTACATCGCTTTCTCTTCGACCATTGCTATACAGGGTACCTGGTGCTAGCATCAGTCCGAGTTGGAAATTCTACACGACTCACACCAACAACATGTCTGACCTCTTCGTTGACCTTACAGCGCCAAATGGCCGTAAGTACAAGCAGCCAAGAGGTCTCTTCATCAACAATGAGTTTGTCAAGTCAAAGTCTGGTGAGACCATCACAACCATAAACCCCAGGTATGCTTACCCCCCCTGCAACACTCTGTCTTCGCTGTGTACGCTAAGCTAATTTGGTTCAGCGATGAGAGCGAGATCACATCCGTCTATGCGGCTGGCCCAGAAGATGTCGATATTGCAGTAGCAGCAGCACGCAAAGCCCTGAACAACCCGGAGTGGCGGGACATGGACTCGAATGTCCGAGCTGATCTACTGTTCAAGTTTGCCCAATTGATCGATGAGCATAGAGAGACTTTGGCGACCATCGAGACATGGGACAATGGCAAGCCCTACTTGGTCTCGCTCAACGAAGATTTGAGCGAAGTTGTCGGCACCATCAAGTACTACGCTGGATATGCCAACAAGATTCATGGCACCGTCATCAACACCTCGCCCGCCAAGCTAGCCTACACTGTCCTGGAGCCAGTCGGTGTCTGTGCACAGATCATCCCGTAAGATGCTTTGATTTTGGGGAATTTGACGTGAATGTACTGACTCCATCCAGTTGGAACTTTCCCTTGGCTATGGCGGCGTGGAAGCTGGGTCCTGCCCTATGTACCGGTAACACAGTAGTCATGAAAGCTGCTGAGCAGACGCCACTTTCCCTTCTGTATCTGGGATACCTGGTCAAAGAAGCCGGCTTCCCTCCAGGTGTCGTCAACTTCCTCAATGGCTGGGGCAGGACGGCTGGAGCTGCGCTGGCACAGCATCTTGACGTGGACAAGATTGCCTTTACTGGATCTACAGCAACAGGAAAAGAGATTATGAAGATGGCTTCTATTAACATGAAGAACATTACGCTCGAAACCGGAGGAAAGTCGCCCTTGATTGTTTTCGATGACGCAGACTTCGATCAAGCAGTCAAGTGGGCGCACACGGGTATCATGTAGGACATACCTCTGCTTCTTGGTTGCATTTGACTGACTGACAATTTCCAGGTACAACCAAGGCCAGGTGTGCACGTCAACATCAAGGATACTGGTGCAGGAGGGCATTTACGAAAAGTTTGTCGAGGCGTTCAAGAATTACGTCAAGACGGCTTCCGTTGTTGGAGATCCATTCAAGGACGACACGTTCCAAGGACCGCAGGTGACCAAGGCGCAGTTTGAGCGCGTGCTCTCGTACGTTGAATCGGGCAAATCAGAGGGAGCCACGCTGGTTGCAGGCGGCGAGGCGTACAAGAACGTAGGTGGTAAGGGCTTTTTCGTGGCACCTACTATTTTCAAAGATGTCAAGGACTCGATGAAGATCTACCGCGAGGAAGTGTTTGGCCCGTTTGTGGCCATCAGTTCGTTCAAGGAAGAAGAGGAGGCCATCCGACGTGCAAACGACACTACGTATGGACTGGGTGCAGCGGTGTTTACCGAAAACATTACCAAGGCACACCGTGTAGCCCGACGAATTGAAGCAGGCATGGTTTGGATCAATTCCAGCAATGACTCTGACTTGCGTGTTCCGTTTGGTGGCGTCAAGCAGAGCGGGATTGGCAGGGAGTGCGGTGAAGCTGGGCTGGAGGCGTACACCAACAAGAAGGTATGTGTGGGATGTATTGCGTGGCGTCATGCACCTGCTAACACGGTTACTAGGCCATCCACGTTAACCTAGGTACCAAACTTTAAAGGCTTCAACGGCGCGACCATGGACGGCAAGCACAGGCACGCAGGCAGTGGGGGGCATGGAAATATTTTGCAAAGACGAAGGGCGTCCAAGAGTTCCGCCCTTGGCGCCAGGGCTTGGACGGTTGACGGGCAGGCAGGTTTGCAGTAAGTAGAGTAGTACCTGTAGGGTTGGTGCCATGAATACAAATGTCGGTGTACACCAGACGAGTGAATGCCGGCTTGGTGATTTGTTTTTGCGACGCAAGTGGTTCGTGTTTGAGGCGCATGGTATGTGCATGACGAGCAGCCTGATGACCCCTTGGGCTGCCAATGGAAGAGAGAGTGGCAGGTGCAAGGGCAGAGGATGACCTGTGGGAGGAGGCACATGTACATGTACATATTGTATATAAGTATATGTACAGAACACGTGTAGGGTAAGGGTTGTGGCCGGAGGATCCGTTGGTCGGGCTGGGTGGGTGGATGGATGGATGGATGGATGGTCGGCAGCCCGGACGGAGTGCTGACAGTGGGCCCCCATGATGTCGTTGGCGGGGTTGCCAGTTGGGCGAATGTGTTCGGTAGGCGTGCAGCGTGGTTTTCTGCGCAGTCGCCTTGCGCCAATTAGGAGAGGAGGGTGAGGCGACGAGGAGAGGAGTGGCCTACCATTGTGCCAGCTCGGCCATGGGTGAAGGCTGGGCGGTTGCAAGAGGAGCGATAGGTCACGTTGCGTGCCCAGCGGCTCTCTCTGATGCAAGGGCTTGTAATCCTTGCCCGCAATCTTGGCGACGTCGCGTTGTGGAAGCTGTCGACTGTTTTTCTCTTCCGTCTGCGCTCGCTCTCTCTTTCTCTCCTCTCTTCTTCTTCCACCCGTCTGGTCCCGTGCTTGTTGTATCAGCAAAGGCCGCAGTCTCCACACGACGTCCTACTAGCACCCGCACAGCACCGCAGCGCACCACAGCCACCCTGTCGCAGCACGCACGCCCGCCCCGTCCAGGTTGCGTAGCACTGCGGCGCCGTCGCGGCAGCCCGGGCTCCTACTAGTCAGCGCTCGCCTGCCCGCTAACAGCGCACCCAACGCTGCCATTCAACGACGCGGCAGGGCCTACGCCGACTAGACCTTGCGGCTGACATCGTCGCTGGCTCCCCCCGCCCTGCTAGCCCAGATAGCGGTTCAAGTCATCGTTATCATCGTTGCTCTCGCCCGGCCCCAGCCCCAGTCCGTGAGCACTGCCCAAACAACCCGCCTGTCCACTGCACACCACCGATCTGGCGCGCACGCTGGAAGACGATCGCTCCCCCGTCGCCCAGCCTAGCCTCATCTGCCACAGCTTGTCCAGGCAGATCACGACTGCGCCGACGGAGGCCCGCTTCCTGTCTTTTCTTGCCCGCCTCTACCGACCGCCCTAGCACAGCCTCTGCCTCTTGCCCAACCCAACTCAACCACCACCACCACACATAACCTCGTCTGCTGCCCGCGCCCTTGCTTGGTGTCCTCGCTCCCAGCAGACACTGGCACGGAGCTGACGGAGAGAGTGAGCCAGCGAACCAGCCAGCCAGCGAGCAAGGCCATCCCCGGCTTGGTCCTGCACTCCCCTCCCCAGCTCGGCCGCCGTTTCCTCCCTCTTTCATGTGGGAAGCATCAACCGACCTCACAAGACTACCATACACACACCCCGCCCGTCTCGACACACGCTCGCTCAAGCCACGCCACCTCCACCCACCATGGGCAACCAACAATCAAGCGGCAAGGACAAGAAAGGCGACAAGAGCGGTGCCGACGGCGTCCCTCTCGGCCGCGAGTACTACCGCTCCTTTGAGAGATCCGACACCAAAGACTCAACTCGCTCGCTGCGTACCTCATTGCGCAATAAGATCCCCATCACCGGCAAGTCCGACAGTCCACGAAACTCAGTTGCCGGCATTGGCGATACCAACGGCAAGGTGGACAAGTCGGATGCCGCTTCCACAAAGTCCAAAGGCTCGCGAAGAAACTCGCTAGCTTCAGCCCCCGCACCGCCCCCCGCGCCAGCGCCCGCCGATGGCTCGACAGAACCCACAGACAAGCCCGAGTCCGACGCAGACGTGCCCCAAGCACCCCCCTCGCCCGTTCACGGCGCAACGCTTGGAACAGGCCACGAGGGAGTCACCAAGGCCCAGCGAACTGGTGAAGTAGACCACGTCTCTGATGTTCCCCCCACGGGAGCCGCACAACCTTCGGCTTCGGCCCAGCCGGGCGAGTCCATCTTGCAAAAGAAAGACCAGCCTATCCCCCGGCTGCCGGAGCCTCCAGCGCCAACAGATGGCTCGGGCTCGCCCATGGAGATCAGCGCGCTCAAGACAATGGATCTCGATGACATGATTCAGCGACTGCTCGACGCTGCATACGCTGGAAAAGTCACAAAGACAGTTAGCTTGAAGAATGCTGAAATCTTCGCCATTTGCTCAGCTGCTCGAGAAGTATTCCTGAGCCAGCCAGCTTTGCTGGAGCTTGCTGCGCCCGTAAAGATTGTGGGCGACATCCACGGACAATACACCGACCTGATTCGAATGTTCGAAATGTGCGGCTTCCCACCAAATTCAAACTACCTTTTCCTAGGCGATTATGTCGACCGTGGCAAGCAGAGTCTGGAAACCATTCTTCTGCTCCTCTGCTACAAGCTCAAGTTCCCCGAGAACTTCTTTCTGTTGCGCGGTAACCACGAGTGCGCCAACGTCACGCGCGTATACGGTTTCTACGACGAATGCAAGAGAAGGTGCAATATCAAGGTTTGGAAGGCGTTTGTCGATACCTTCAATACGCTACCTATTGCGGCCATTGTAGCCCAAAAGATTTTCTGTGTACACGGCGGACTGTCGCCCAGTCTGTCACACATGGACGACATTAGACAAATTGCGCGACCTACTGACGTGCCGGACTATGGTCTACTCAACGACCTGTTATGGAGTGATCCGGCCGACATGGAGAACGACTGGGAATCCAATGAACGTGGAGTTAGTTACTGCTTTGGCAAAAAGGTCATTATGGAATTCCTGGCGCGACACGACTTCGATCTGGTTTGCAGAGCCCACATGGTTGTGGAAGACGGTTATGAGTTCTTCACAGACCGAGTGTTGGTGACTGTGTTTTCTGCGCCAAACGTAAGACGCTTGTTATCTCTTTTCAGCGCGGAATTCAGCTAACACCGTACAGTACTGTGGTGAATTTGACAACTGGGGTGCCGTCATGTCGGTTTCTGGCGAACTACTTTGCAGTTTTGAGCTCCTCAAACCCCTCGACTCAAGTGCGCTGAAGAGCCATATCAAAAAGAGCAGGAACAAGCGCCAAAGCATGCTCAACTCACCAGTACGTATCACAACTGAACTTCCTGGAATTTTGCAAAATTCAGGACTATCCATTATATATATAGCAGTACTAACAAGGCCGGCAGCCCGCACACTACGCTCCTCAAAGTTACTAATCCTATGCTTGGGTATAGGGTACTTGCGATACTCCGCCCTCTGAATCTTCACCTTCGACCCTGACAGGAAATATTTTGGTTCTACAAAAGCCGGCGTCTTCTGAATTAGCCGATGATGCCATCATGGCAAACGAACAAGAAAAGCGAGACGTTGCCAAACAGCCACGGTGCGTGCAGAGGAAACCTGGATTGGAACGACTGGGCAGCCAAGACGATGATGCCTCCATGCCTGTGCCCGCCAAACATGGGCACATCAGATCGAGCACTTGGATAGAGACTCAAAGTGAGCCTGCTACATCACCCAATAGCCCTAGCGCGCCGCTGTTATTGCAAAGCATGCATTCGCACAGCGCCAAACAACTAGGCGAAGAGCGAAGGAAACAGAAGCTCGAAGAACAGAGAGTACTATGGGAGTCTACGCTTCCTAAATCTCTCTTAGATCATATTGGGGGTTTCGCTACCGGACGCCATTTCGACTATGTGCATCCTACAGGCATGCGCCGAAGCAGCTGAGCGTGTGATATCTTGCCAATAGTTCTTTCTTCTCTAAGGGCCCCTCCAGATTTTCGTCACTAACCGGACGCTGGGCTTTCTTTTCTATGTGGAGTTCGGATGGATGATGCAACAATTTACCTCTTCGCTCTATCCTACAAAGGCTTGTTTTTTTTTCATTTCCTCATCTCCTAATTGTCTTACGCATTGACAGGCGTAGGCGTATATCATACACGTGGGCTTTTATTAGCTTACTTCTTTTCTCAATTTGACCATGACCTAGTATGGTTTAGAGCATGATGCGTTGATGGCTCTACAGGATGAACGGAAGTAGGACGCAATGTTAAATGTATACCATACGGATGACAGTTGTAGCCTGTTTTTTTTTCTCATTAATACTATCCACACATATCTTATTCAAGACTTAGATGACTTTCTTGGCGTGATGCTGTTCTCATGTGAATGTGCTAGTCTGATATGTGATTTATACAGGCGTCGTGCCGAAACTTTGCTCTTCCCTTACTCCAGATCAAATTGCATATACTAGCTCTGACCCGCCATATCTTGTAGATAATGGACTCCACGAAACGATATCGCTTCGAGTATTGCTTCTATACAATACTGCTTAAATCCAGAGTTGTCATCTATAGTAAAGATGTCACAAATTGCTGAGGAGAGGGCACTGCAGTGTAATCCTCGTCACTGTAGCATCCGGCTATATGAAAACGCCACAATCCCAACGGACTTATTCGTCTTGTGAAAAGTCTCAGATCCAGCCCCATCCCAAACAATACCCCGAGTATGGAAAACCAAAATACAATACAATCCGCATTCACACCAAACCACTCGATGCCCGGCGCTGCATACCCTTCCACCTCGCCACCACATTCCCCCGCTCCTCATCCGACGCCAGCTCCAAATCCCGCGCACCCTGCCTTAGCCGAATAAGATATAACTCCGTCTGAAGCGGGGTGACTCTGTGTTTGGATAGTGCGCATTCAATTCCTTTGAGGGTGTAGCCGGGTAAGCCCCAAATAGCTGTTTTGTATATTAGAAAGAAAGAACTGATTTAGTAGCGCTTGGATTCTTGATGGAAGGAAAAAAAAGAGGGGAGATGAGAAAGAGAGAAAGAGAGAAAGAGAGAAAGAGAGAAAGAGAGAAAGAGAGAGAGCTTACCGGCTGAAGCGTGGCATGCGAAACCTCCGATTCCCCTACCGATTCCTTTGGGCAAGCCCAGGGGACCCTCGAGTTTGGTGCCGAGGTAGGGGTGTTTTACTAGGCCGGTGAATGCGTCGTAGAGACCTAATCGGAATTCCTGGTAGCAGAGCAGTAAAAGGTTCGGTTAGCTACTATGCCTTTCCTCTTTTTTGCGTGGAAAAAAGGGTGCAAGTACGTACTTTGCCTGCAACGGCTAGACCGCTGCTTAGACCGACGATTTCGTCGCGGCGTCGGTGCCGCTCGTTGGCTATGGAGTGTGAGGGGTAGTTGCGGAAGCCGTTGGCTACGTTGTAGAAGAGAGCCACGGGGGCTTTGTTTTTTTTGGTGGTTAGAAACTGTAAAATTGCTGGAAAAGAAAAAGAGGAATAATGGATATCTGGAATGTTACCTTTTAGGTACGTCTTGGTTACGTCTCCTGCGTAGTGGAGAGTTGCGCTGGTTATTTGGTAGGCGCGTCCATGCTCGGCTTCTTGGGCAGCTAGGAGAGCGTGGATTTTTGCTATTTCTTGTGCGTCTGGCATTTTGTCAAAGTCATCTTGCCAGTTATCTTTCAGGGATTTGGTTGCCATCATACTGGCCATGTGAGCTAACCAAATGGGACTTATGGCTTGGTCTTTGTGCCCCTCGTCTAGTCCCCAGTTTTTCTGAGTATTTGTCGTCCCTGTGGAATCGATACCCTGTAACTTTGGTTTTTTCAGACGGTGGGAAAAGTCTGACGTGTTGATTGCAAGGTTGGTAAAGAAGCTGGAAGCTGCAGCTACGGCGCCAATCAATGGTGCTTCTGCTCCTTCGTGGATATCTTTTATTGTTAGCATACAATAATTAGAGTTGCGAATAAAGTCTTACACCACTGTCTATGGCGGAGCCTATACTAAGTCAGCTTGTGAATACCTCTGAGTCCCAGCAACTAATAAAACACTTACAGTCGTAGATCATTTGGATCTATCAGTTTATGCTTTGCAAGGACACATGCAGCGAGTCCGCTAAGATATGCCCCCGATTTCTTATCCCTCCATACTGCTAGCCGTTCCGGACAGACATGGCACCTCATCTCATCTACCCTTAGTGCGCTCTCGAAATCCTGGACCGTTTCTGAAGCTCCGTCTTCCTCTGCAATACAAGCCGCCATCTTCTTGACAGCAATATCGACTTCGGGTCTCAATGCAAACTTGATACTCTCGGCCAAGCCTTCCGGCGTGAGTTGTCTATAGGGAATAGGTTTCGGACCTGCGCCTGCTTTGGCAACCATTTTCCCCCAGAATGGCTGGTCTCCAAAGAACGGTACTATAACAGTGGGTTTTCCAAGTGCTATGCCCGCTGCCGTTGTGCCGGCGCCTCCATGATGAACCACGCAGGAGACGTGTTGGAAAAGCCAGTCCTTTTTGTGTGTGAGTTTTTTATCTAGAACCTCTAGCTTGTACGCTTATTATACTCACGTGAGGGCAATTGCCAATCATGTAGACATTCTCAGGCGCCTTGTCTGCGCCTATACCTCCCCACCCCTTCGAGATAATGGCACGCACTCCAGCTAGCTTGATAGCTTCGAATATGAGATTTGTCAGGTGTAAAGGGTCATCTACAACGATAGATCCAAAGCCAATGTAGACTGGCGTAGGGCCTTTTTCGAGGAATGCAGTTAGATCGTCTGGTGGTGAGTAAGATGAGCCAGCTTTCAGAAATGAGAACCCTGTCACATTGAGATGCTCAGGCCAATCCGATGGCTTAGGAATCAGGGCTTGTGACCAGAGATAGGAATGGGGGATTTTTAGCCTTCGAAGCAGCTGGAATCCCCAAAGAGGGCTTATCTGCATAGCGTAAAATGGTTAGTCTAAGCAAAGCTGTACGCCGAGAAGAATTCTTACGATATCGAGTTTCAAGGTATGTGTTCTGAATCTATTGATGAGATCCCCTAGTCTGGTACGGTTAGCAGCCTCTTGTCAAAATTGATATGAGCGAGAGCCTACCCTTGCCAGGTCATCAATTCCATGATAGCGAAACTGACGTAGTTTGCTGAAGACTCATCTGCCTCACCGTATTCCATCGCGGCTAGTGGATGGTGGAAAGCTTTTGTTGGTGACCATGGCATGGTGAAAACAATATGTAGAGGTATCCCTAGCCTCTCTGCGCAGTGGATATGGCCCATGGACGGTGGGTTGGCAATGATGACATCCGCAATAAATAAGCTCTCTGTCTGTTCCACATCCACTGCAGTGACCTTAGGTCCTAGTCCGTCTCCAGCTTCGATGCAGCTACGCCATGTGCCTTCGAGTATCATTGCCATCTCCTTCCGCCTCTTGCTCACTTCGCCAGCCCTAATGCTTTCCATACCTGGAAGTAAGCCCGGGTTCTTCACCATGTACGCCATGAGAGCTTCTGGATCACCCCCAATAGAAAAGAACTCGAGGCCATTGCTTTCCTTTAGCGCGTAAGTCCGCATGATGCTGTATGAATGAATACGAGTAGATTGTCTGCTTTACTTACCACGAAATCTTTGAAGGCTGGGTGCGTGCATATTCGTACCCGGTGACAATATGGGGGTGCTTGAAGTAGTTTGGCGATTGGAATAAAAGGTTGCACATCCCCTCTAGAACCGCAAATGTGAATCGCAATGTTTAGTCTTGGCGAGGGAAGATCCGCTTGTTGGCTGTGGGGAATGTAGGGTTGTGGTGTATTGGTTGCGTGTTTCTTGCTCACTGGGTTGCGTTGTTGATTTTTGAACCAGCGCTCAAGACGTTTCGGAGTTTGATGAAAACGAACGGCAACTTGGCCGAGCCTGTTCACTCTGCCTGAAATATGTGACCTTGGATCGTGGAAGTGCCAACGTTCCGGGTGACCCGAGAAACAGGAAGACATAATTGCGGGAGTATTAGGCAATATAATACTGGTGATACTAGCAATGTCAGAGAGCCTGTGTAAGAAGAGTCTTTGGGTCGATCGCTATAAGATGGCGGCAGTTTGTATGACATATAACGTTGGCGCAGGGGATGCATTCAGGTCCTGGTGTCAGCGAAGGTGGAAGCGCCGGATGGCTAACAGCGCCAGGCAGCGAAAAGTGGCGGACGAATACATGCGAACGGTCATGTCGGTTGCGGGTCCAGATCGTGTCAAACATGTCCCATATATCATCTCAGTTCTGGAATCGTTCGACTACTTGGTCGATCCTTTCACGTGTAGCACACGTCACAAGTAAGCCCAAATACGAAAACAAAGTGCGTGGCATTGGAGGGTAAGCATCCTGAGTACAACAGATGACCGCCGCCCGGCATTCTTTCTTGTATTGACAGAAGGTATCTGGTGCTGATCTATGTTTGCTTGCGCAGGCAAATCGTGGGTGCAATGCAAAACTCAATTTCATGGTTCGTACACTCTTGATGCAGCCAAAGAATTTACGCTGTCACCAACCGGAGTCCAAGAGTTCCGATGTCAGATTTCCCCGGTGACGCAGAGGAGCCCCCTCGGCCGAAGAGTTACGGTCAACGGAGATACGAGTAACTCTCGTATTGTAGTGCGCAGATGGCATTCCTACAAGCATTTTGCTTGATTTTCTGCCCTTCACGTGCATAGTTGCTACATATGAGGGGCGTGGCCAGCAAGTAGTTTTACAGAGGTTGTCTTTGTACTACGAATCAACACCGGATACCTCGGCAGCACGTGAGGCGATAAGAGCAATCGCCAATGTCGTCACTCTTCTTCATCAAGACTAATATGTAGAATATCACTCACCTCCGATTCGTTCTAAAAGAATGTTCGGGTTCGCGCTTACTCGTTCTGTTCTCAAATTTTTCTACTAGGCGGTCAAAAAATTCATGCTTGCACTGAGATACCGCCAATGGTGCAACGCATGAAGAGCACGAGAACAAAACACGGTTTTTACTTGTAAACACAAATTGACTATCGTAGAATCATTAGTTCAATAACCAAACTACACATTAAATGTTCCAAGAACCTGGCCCCATTGTCATCTGTTTGGATGCAACGTATTTTAGTTTTCCCGATGACAGAGCGCAGGCTCAACGCGGACTGCGACAAATTAATCCCCACATTTTAGACAATCTTGGTCGTGTTCATCGCCTTTACCCATGGCTTCCAGAACTCTTCGATACCCCGTTCGTAGTTCCATCCCGACCAATCGTAGTTGGTCATACCCCACGTATCGGGGAAACCTTGTACTCCGGATCTGATTCTGTAAGAGCCCGCAATGGCCCACATCATCCAGCTTACGCCGTGCTCGATGGTGTACTCCTTCAAGCAGTTCTGGAGAGTATTGTTGAAGAGAGTCTCGTCTTGGGCACTGCCAAACTCGCTCAGAATGACTGGTGTCTCACGTACAGCCTTAGGGCAGTCACCCGTGATGTTACAAGCAGGTGGCGCTTCGATACCTAGTGCGTTGAATCCATTACGATAGAAGTTGGCTTTCACGATATCGCATGTGCCGGTATCGATATCCTCGCTCATACTGTAGAGATGAAGTTCCCAGACGAGTTTGTCGGCCCATGGGTGGTCATCGAGGTTGAAGTAAACCGGTTCACGCCTAGCAGCGTCACGAATAGCCGTGCACTTGTAGCATGGTGCGGTGAGGATATTCTTTCCACTAGTCAAAGCCGAAAGGTCCTGGCCATATTGCATACCTCCCCAGAGGATAAGGAGGTCTGGGTTGGCTTCGTGGATTGCATCAGCACCAGCCGTCATGTTGCCAACCAACGTATCCCAGTTGTAGTACAGGTCTGTGACATTCCATGATTCGCGAAGCTCATTGCGAAGAGACATGCTGACAATGTTGGGATGTGCCTTTGCCCAGTTTGCAACGTAGGAAAGGCCACGACGCCAATGGGTGGCGTTGAAGTGCAAATCATCAAACCAGGCAGTACCGTCAATGTGCGAGCAGCACCACTGCGCCTTGCCAGTGTGCACATCTGGGCTGATGAAGATGCCTTTGGTAGCAGCAATGCGTGCAATGTCACTCCAGATCTCGAAACGAGTGGTCTGTGCCGTCCACCCGGGGTTCTTGGCGATGATTTCCTTGGTGACTTTGGTGCCATTGACGTACCCCAGGGCGTTTATGAGACCAACTTCCAAGGGCACATCCTCGCCGTTCCGATCATAGACCTGATCAATCATCTCGATGGCATAGCCCATGCGGATGTAATTGAACCCGACGCCCGCAATGTCTGAGAGGATCTCATCGGCGGACGCCCACTCGAGACCTTCTGGAATCATGGTCTCACCTATGGGCACAGTGAGCACATTTTTGGCCGGTATCGACAACAGAGAACTAGTACATACCGCTCATAGGCCAATTGACGCCTGCCCATGATACTGTCTGACCATTGCGGTCGACAATGTCTCGTCCGCGAGTACTATACGGGCCATTGAACGAAGGCGATGAGCCGTTGGTAGCCTGCCTTCGTGCATTGTACTGAAAAGTAGCCGCACTCGGAACTTCTGGCAAGTAGCCCGCCGAGACAATAGTGCCGGCGAGGACTGAGGTAAGAAGTAGGCGTGGTCCCAACATGGCCTCGAAATGAAGCGCCCAGTAGTCTTCTGGATGTCATTCAAGATCATGGGTACATGTCAGCTTTTATAAGCTTCTCGGTATACATGATGGATTTGGCTAGCTGCGAAGAGCTCCATCGTGCATCGGCAGGCTTGCTGGATACATGCAATTCGGACGCTGATCTTCCTTGCTTCAGGCCCGGTTGACGGAGAAAAGATGGCCGAGCAAGGATGTCCTCCGCATTGCGGGGGAAAATACGACGAGCTAGTGCTTGGCGAACGATGCTACATGTATTTTCAACCGGCATTGTATACCGCGGGTCGGAAGCCTTACGCGATTGGGGCCATGGCCTTGCTGCTGGCTCGGTTCATGTGTGGTGGATGCGGGTAAGTATGTGTGTTGGATGAGATGAGAATAGTCACGTGCCGCGTGGTTCTAGCGCGTTTCCCACTGCTCCACCGCCACCCGGCTCAGGGCAGCGTGGATATCATCCTGTCAATTGCAACACACGCAGCAACTGGCCATGGACGCATTGCTGCATGGTCTAAACGATGCGCAGAAGAGCGCAGTCACCAGCCCTGCGAATGTCGTGCAGGTGCTTGCTCCTCCAGGCTCGGGCAAGACGAAGACACTCACTGCGCGTGTCGCGTACCACATTAACCACGAACGACTACAACCATGGAACATCATCGTATGCACCTTCACCATCAAGGCCGCCCGGGAGATGAAGGAGAGGATTCGGGGCTTCGTTGGCGACAAACTGGAGGCCAAGCTAATATTGGGCACCTTCCACTCAGTTGCCCGTCGCTTTCTGTTCCGCTATGGCCAAGAGATTGGAATTGACAAGAACTTTGGTATCGCCGATACTAGTGACAGTTCCGCTATCCTCAAACGCATCGTTACGCGTTATCAGTATACCATAGAGCCTGGCCATGCCCGTTCGAGGATTTCCAAGCTCAAGGCCCAGGGCGTTACATCAGATGCTTTTGCCGCGACTGCCAAAAATGCAAACGACAACGAATTTGCCATGATCTACTCGTCTTATCAAGAGCACTTGGCCGCATCTAACTTGCTCGACTACGACGATCTCTTAATACGCTGTGTCGATCTGCTAAAGAAGTCACCTTCATGCGTTTCAACGATACAGGCTGTGCTTATTGATGAATACCAGGACACCAACAACATCCAGTATGAGTTGATGAGCTTATTAGCTCAAAAGACTAGGCGCATCACAATCGTTGGCGATCCAGACCAGAGTATTTACAGCTTTCGATCTGCTGAAATCAAGAACCTGCTCCGGATGCGCACTGACTATCCGGAATCTGTCGTCATCAATCTGGAGAACAACTACCGCTCATCTGGCTACATTTTGAATTCGGCCATGGCTATCATTGAGCAGGACGAGAGCCGACCACAGAAATCGCTAATCGCCACGCATGGCGCTGGCGAACAGCCCACTCTTCGCCATCTAGTATCGGCCAATGTCGAAGCAAAATGGATCGTCGAAGAGATATGCAGAACAAGAACACTTAGTGCTGGACTACTGGATTTTGGCGACTATGCCATATTAGTGCGCTCATCGCCACTCACCCTCCAGATAGAACGAGCACTCGGACAAGCTGGGGTTCCCTATCGTATGGTGGCTGGTACCAAATTCTTCGATCGAGCTGAGATCAAGATACTACTGGATTACCTGCGCGTTGTCAGTCAGCCAGAGCATAATGATGCCGTAGCGCGCGTCATCAATGTACCTTCTCGGAAAGTTGGCGATGTCACCGTCAAAGCGCTGCTGGAAGAAGCAGAAATGAGTAAGATTACCCTTTGGAAGCTCGTTCTCGACATTGCTCAAGGAAAAAGAAGGCCAAAAATCAAAGTGTCTACACAAGCACAAAAGGGCATTGAGCAGTTTGTCAACGTCATTTTGAGTTCTCGGGAAAAGCTGATTCCTGCCAAAGATGACGTGTGTGACCTCTTCGGGCTCATAACTCACATCTCGAACAAGATATCGTTCCTGTCATATCTAAAGCAGACCCACAAGGAAAACTGGCAAGACCGATGGGCGAATGTCGAGGAGCTCGTCAATCAGGCGACGCAAATGGCCACAGCCGTTGCCAACGGAGAAGAGATATCGGACGATGCATTGCCTGTGGCAGAAGGCATAGAACAGCGACCCGACAGCGCCGCCGATATCCTTTCGAAATTCCTCGCCAATGTCACATTATCGAGCGCGGCGGATCAAGAGGGCACAGAGCAAAACCAGGTCACCATTTCCACTATCCATGCAGCGAAAGGTCTCGAATGGCCTGTAGTCTTCATGCCCGCCATATACGATGGTTCCATTCCTCACTCGCGAGCGGACGACCAAGACGAGGAACGAAGGTTGCTGTATGTTGGTATGACGCGTGCCCAAGCGTTACTTTACCTCAGTTGTCCTGTAAAGCAATCGGGACAGGAGCAAACGACTCTTTCACGATTTATTTCGGACCGTAAAGTGCAGAAGTTTTTCAGCGAGCGAGGGCCAGATCTGGCGTTTAAACGGAGTATTATCACCGACCTAGCACGAATTCTGCGAAGGGACTGCCCTTCGACCGCAGATCTCGATCGTGCTCGTGATTCAATGGAGCGACCAGAAGATGACAAATACCCAGCAACGCGAGACGAGATTGATGGCAATGATCCAACCTGGGGTGCGCCGTGGAACGAGAAGCGCACAAATTCCAAGCTAGGTAGCGACGGGTCAGATCAAGCCCTGAAGCGACGGAGGATCGATGGCCTGGGCTCTTACTCGAGAGAAAGCGTATCAGTCACGATCAACCGCACATCTAGCTACTCCGCCTCCATGACCACAATGCAGAGCATGAATGCAGGATTCACAAGCGCCCGAGATCTGGGCGACCTGCAAGCGATGCAAAAAGAGGCAGAGCGTATCTGTACATCAGCCAGTACTCAAGGTACACAGAGCAGCAAGGCAGAACCCAAGGCAGTCAAGGCAAAACCTGGCAAACCACGTGCAGCAGGCCAAGGTGCCATCACATCATTCTTCAAACGATCAAACAGCGCAATGTCCGAGCAGTCAGAACACGAATCATCCACAGCAGTCCCATGCCTGCAACGCTCGCAGTCATGCTTAACAAGCAACGCGCCACTACATGACATTTCCAACGTACAGACTTCGACGCCGCGTCCCTTTCGACCACTATCGATACCAGAGCACAAAGTAACGAGCCAACGCATTCTCAACAAACCGAGGAAGACTGAGCCCGAGAGTGAGACACAGAACACACGATATGTGCTTCTATCGAGCTCGCCCATAAAACCTGATCCGGTGGACCTAGATCAAAATGCAGAAACAACAGATGAGCCACAGAGTTCTATCAAGAAGACAGCGGCGTTTGGTTCAGCATCAGGCTTTCGTTCAGCATCAACATTACACACGACGTCAACAAGTCAGGTACAAAATGGAGTGGCGCAGAGGAGAACATTGGGTACTAGAAGGATCATGCAACCATGGAGCGTAAAGCATAGTTCCATGCCCAAGCCACGTCCTTCATGAAAGGTATATATATTCTGGAACTATCCTGGCAGTTTGGAATTAGGTACATTGCATTACTAGGCGTTATAGATTTCTAGGGGGTACGGCCAAGTACATATACGCATCGCACTGCAACGAGACATTACTGTCTCTACTTATCTTCCTTACGTATCATTCATATCTGGCATTCGGCTAGCAGTCGAGATCTCATCTATAGCACGGCAAAAGCACTGCAGTAGGACACGCTACTGTCCTGGAGGTCCTCAACAAGGCTGCTCCTTTCATACCGCAGGAAGCTGAATATGCCCTTTCCTTCTTCGAGCGCTTCGGCACTTTCCACAGCAGCCATGAACAAACCGATAGGATGTCTTCCACACACAGTGTTGCCCGTTTTCCTAAGCTGGTCAAGGAACTTTCTGTGCGAGCCAGTCTCAATGGCATCCATGCTCTCGTGATCAACAGCAGCAATGCTCTCATGTATGGGGTAGTCATTTGGTACCCGCGAAGCTGACTTCAGCTGAGTTGCAGCTGCACCATTAGGAGGCTGATAGTATGTGTAGCGAAAGCGAGAGCCCCAGTGACAGAAGTCGGACGAAATGACGAAGATGTTTGTGGGATCAGCAAGATAAGGAGCAAGAAGGGAACCGTACCGAGCCTCTGCAGCAGCATCGGTGTTGCCAACCATGATGGGGACCAGAGGGACCGAGGACGGGTTGCTTTGAAAGTCTTTGTTCTTGAGCGACAGCATTTTGTAGATGTAGGGCAGGTGCATTTCCAGACTGTGCTCGTCTTCGTCTGTTCTCTTTGACATGATCTCCAGGTCCCATTCCTGCTGAATCTTCTGGACGAGGGTTGTGTCTACGATCAGGTCACCCAGCGGGGTGTGATACTTGTCGCAGCCCGTGGTCGCAGCGCCGGTTAGGTAGTAGTGGTGTGAGGGCCCGAGCAGAAAGACGCGTTTTCTACGGGCAATTAGCGTAGATGGTCGACGTAAAGGTCATGTCTTAGTAACGCACGCATTGGCCCAATCGGCGCTCTTGTAGGCCCATGCAGCGGCAGGCCCAGAGTATGAGTATCCGGCGTGCCTGCATGTTCATGAGCCCTGGCTTGCTAATTGTAGCTATTGGACGCTGCGTACGGAGCAATGATGGCCCGGGCATTGGGTGTTGGTATCGAGACTTGGCCCTTTTGCGACGAGGCCGAGCCGATAGGTGTCGTCGAAGCAGGCACTGCTCCGAGCCAGCCGTCGAGCTGCTGTGAGAGGAGCTGGCCATTGTCTGTATACCAGGAGCCGGCGTGGGAGGCCTTGCGAGTAACCATGGTTGTTCGTAGGAGGATGCACTTGGGGAGAGGCTGTGGTTGTTGTTATGGTGGTAGTGGTGGGGTAATGGTGGTGATGAGCAGCGATGCGGGGCATGGGTTGAATGTAGAGAGTTGATGACCATCGACATAATGCCATTTCCCCCCGACCCCCACCACCAAGAAAATGCAAGTGAACCCGGTTTTTTACGTCGTCATTACTTCTCTCATAAATCAATGTCCATTATATACTATCAAGCCGAGGCAATAAGCGTGTTGGAATAGTTGCACCAGGCAATTAATACAGTTCCTATTTGGGACGCGACGCGCTCGCGCGACACGCCAGTCGCGTTCCCTGGCCAGCACCTTGCATCATCATCGTTATTATTATCATCAACATCCCCAACATCAACATCAACATCGCCCTTCTGCAAGTTGCTTATTCACGCGAATATATAGCCGCCAAGTTCCCTCGCAGATCCGTCTTATTCATTTCACATTTGTCGAACAGTGCCCCCACAGCCATGGGCTGCAAGCGCAAGCACTCGTCCGACGACTCGTCGCTCTCCATTTCCAGCTTCGGCGCTGTTTCCCCAAAGACCCTGGATGCCTCGATGGATTTGGATGCCTACCCGCGATCTAATGGCTGGGACTTCATGAGTGCGGGTCGAGTCAAGAACAGCGACTGGGGCAACCGAACATGCAAAAGGGTGCGCGACAACCGACCAGACGAGCGCGCAATACACGGTATGGTGCAAATCCTCATTCCTATATATCCAAACTTTACTAACCATCGCTATTCAGAAAACACTCTAAATAAACTCTTTTCTGCGCAGCGCAACCATCGCGATATCACAGCCCCAACATCCCACTCCTTATCAAGTCAGCAGTCTACCTTGGCAATCTCAAAACCGCAAAAGTCGACATTACACTCCTTCTGGAAAGAACTGCCTGCACCACCTGTCCAACCCATTTTCTCGATGCCTGTGCAACTTGCTCAGAGTTCCTCACCGCTGGCTCGGTGTGACGACTGCGATACACCACTGCAAAGCGAATACGATAGTATGGATATCGACATGGATGCAGACCTAGAAGGATCTGTTGAGGGTAGTTCGTTTGCGTGCAATGATTGTGGGAGAAATGTTTGTGGTACATGTGCAGTTGTCTCAGCCACAAGACATTGCCTACAGTGCGCCACCACGGGAAACCATTTACGGCCGTAAAGATGAGAGGATTTTTTTTCTTAGATTAATCTGTTCGCAGTACCATGTGTATTATTAGCATCGTTGTATATGGGAGATTTGGCAGCAAAATATATCCAGCGAGCTTATGCAGCAGGGCGTCCAGGGGTTGTTGTCAAGTAGTATGGGACAAATTAAGCTTTCGTTTGCATAATTAACTCAGAGTCGCTAGTGAGGTGCACCATGGCTAAGCACTGTGACTGTAGGGGGTGGTATGAGCTCGTCGTTTCATAAAGGCCACAGACGCGGCAGTTGGATATCGGTAGGTAGGGGGGAGAGCCGAGTGTTGCAGTTTTCAAACCAAAGTTATAATTCATAATCATTCTTCTGTTGTATTGATTTTGATAATGATTGTATTGACTATACGGTTTTCTCTTGTCGTGGCTAGATACAGTACTTTGTGGGCTCAGAATTCTGTGCAGTTGTCAATTGAGGAAATTAAGAAAGCTTCTTCGGCACTAAAACTTAGACTCCTTCCTGCAAATCGAAGGTTCAAAGAAGATTTGATTTGAATGCAGGAGCGGTCTTCAGAATCAGTCCCCCTAGTCTGAGAGTTACTATTGTTTTTTTTTGAAGGAGGAAATTATTGTGTTGATACACTACCATTGTAGTCAATGGATTCTATGAAGATGTGTGTGTTCGAAGAAAATGCTGGACATATAACGCTGGACAAATGGTAAAAAATCAAAAAGGGGCAGCCTGAAGCGAACAGACACTACTTCTGTTCTACATCACCGGCTGGCAGATCGTCTTTTTCTTTCCTGTCTCCCCTTGCTACCTTCCTCTTCTCCTGCTGCCACAAGCTCCATGTGCACCACTCACCCCAGACCTGCGCAGCCGTAAAGATGCAGTGCAGAATCGGAATCATGATCTTCATGGTAAGTGTCCACCTGTGGAACAGAGCACCATACAATCCGAATATGGTTCCTGTCTCAGCTAAGGTTCCAATGGACGAGCACCAGAAAGCCACGGAAAAGGAGCGTAGTAGTTTCTCAGACGTAACTTCGGGATCGCGGTAGATGATCATGGTGACGTGAGGAGGTACCTCGACACTCAGGTCGAAGAACCCTACATATTGTTAGTCCATGGTAAACATGTTAAATTGTGCATCACGTACCCCAGAACAAAGTCAAGACAGCCTCCAAAGCTGCATCTGGTTGACGGTTGGTCTTCCCGCTCCAGTACAGCGTCAACTGGCCCATGACAAGCACACCAACATGGTGGGCAACAGCGACATAACTGATACCCTCGCGGTACGCCAACTCATGCCCGTACATGACCGAGACGATCATGATTGCGAGATACAGCGCATCGCCCATCGTGAAGACACTGTCTCGTCGCTTATGCCCCACACCAGAACCAAACATGGGCGTGTGGAAGTCGGCTTTGCCGAGGACGACGGCAAAAAAAGGGTAAATAGCGAAAGCCACAACGAAGATCTTGGCCGCAATGGACAGATGGTGGTTTACGAAGCCACGTTTCTGGCGAGCGTTGAGTGTTGGCCATACGCGTTTGTAGATGAGCCCCCTGTCGAGAGCGTTTTCGAGGACGTATTGTCGACAAACGAAGAAGATTGCGAGAAGCTGAAGTCACGATGTTAGCGAAAAGGTGTTCGATCAGATTCCAATGCAATGACTGATAGGTCACTTACGATTGCGAAGACGAGGCCAGAGTGCTTGATCATTGGCGATATGGGCACATTTTGAATGTTGGCGAACCCAGGAAGGGAGCCAGTGTGCCGCTTTTTGTCATCCAACGAATTCTCCATGGTGTATGGAAAAAGGTATCAATGATGCTGTTGTGAAGAAGAAGAAGAAGAGAAGGGCAAACACAAGTTGGGACTGCAGAATTAAGTAGGGAAAGCCAGACTGAAACGACTGTGAATTGGTGAGGCTAAGGAAAGGGCCACTGGCCCTCAAGTATATGACCTTGTGCGTACAAAATGACCCATAAAACACATTGGTACCGATTAGTCGTGGCCCCGGACTCTCTCCTTCCCATAAACAATAGCGTTTTGCTTTACGAAACGCATATGCCGACTGCGCCCCCCCCCCCCCCCCCGTTGCAACCGTCAGGCCGCACTATCCAAGATGCCTGAAGCACCGACGCCACAAACACATGTTCCCCCTGCCACTTGTCGTATACATTTGCCTAAATAGCCTGAAAAGTTGTAGTGTGGTGGCTCGTACCATGTAAAGGAGTGGAGTTGCTTAACGTGCTGCTGACATTAACAACGTATGCAGCCACAAATGGCGCAGTCGCCGGCGCCGCGTGATTGGCCGACCCCGGCATATTGAGACCGCGCAAGCCACAGGTTGGTTGCGCATGTGGGCCCGTGCGGTTTGACAAAAAGATCCTCCGTCGACGCATTGTCGAAGCTTAACGCAGACAAGATTTGTTCAAAACAGCTTATTTGTTTGCAAATAGGGGGGGGGACTGTGCGGCTGTCTGTGTCAGAATCCATTTTTTGTCTCTTCGAGAAGTTGCAATGATCAACCCTCTTTCTTGCTCACAGATGTTGCGATGGAAGGTTGCTACCATCGTGGGGGTTGTAAATACTTGGCTAGCCTTGCAGCTAGTAGCCGCGTGCACCAGGGGGCGGATATGGCGTATAACTTGGTTTTTTTGTCAAGCGGCCTGCTAGTTCCCCAATTTCACAGGCGCCGGAGTTGGCTCGTCGGAAACCCCTAATAGACCGTAGGCGCGGTGTCACATAAGCGGTGTTTTTACGGGACTTGACTACTTTGGGACATGAGTTTACGCGGCCTTTTGGCATTATACGCAGTATGGCTCCGTGACCTATCAAATGGTCGCAGAACGGTTTGAACTATACTTTGTTCCAGGAGGGGGAACAAGGCGTTTTTGAACGGTGCCAAGGTGCCTTGTCAGGCATCCGACCACATTGGTCACTTGGCTGGAACTATTATTTACAACTGACGCGACGCTCTGCATGTACAACACTATCAAGCCGCTTCGTGACTCTCTCATGTCTTGGGAACAACGTAATTTTGCTCTAGGAATGGTGCGATTTTCAACGGTGCCCCTTACCTAGCGGCCTACGCAGCCTTATCCACCTGCGTTTACAGTAACAACACATGACCCCGATGACGAAAATCGTTACCTCGGCGTGTGCAGACTGGGAGGTGGCCTGTTGTTCTTTTCAGAGAGATAATCAGCTGTTGCGCTAGACGCCAACTAGATATTGGCCTGTGACCGTCATACTCATTACATAAAGGCTACTTTTACGGGAGAACACAGATATACGCAGAAACCTCTTATTTGTATGTTCTATGAGACTAGTTAATTATCAGAATTAATAGTCGAAAGGTTCAGTTTTGTTTTGACAAATCGCACAAGGTGTCGCAGTACTTGTGGTTACGATGTGTACACCGAGTTAAAATGGATCTGTTGGCCTTCCAAAAACGAAGTGATTGATCAAGGGATTCAGATAGATGGTATCGACACCACAGTCTGTGCGAAACTTTGACAAAACAACATGGGTGAGATAGGGGTTGTCTGGTGATAGGCTGTAGCAGGATCGGCAAAGAACTCGGGTGCTGTTGAGTAAGATTACAAGATGTGATAAATAGACCCAAGGTTCAAGCCAAAGGAGAACCGCAAGCAGATGATTTTGGTAGCTTCTAATATTTGCCTGACCCATCGCTTAGCTCAGCGCTGATCATACTGCTCGAAGCCCACCGCGCCTGTGTTTGATTCTGTACTTTCCTCCCTACAACAATTGATCAATTCACAAGCGAACAAGTTTCTCGAAGGTTATCTAGCGTTCCTACGCTATTTTCGGCTCTATTTGGGCGGAAGTAGCCGCTTGGAACGATACAAAGAAGCCCACTTATTTAAGGCTTAGACAGCCACCTGGAGTCTTACCCGCCGCCAGTCTGCTAAGGTGGCGCTGAGAGAAAGGAGCGTGACAAGAGCGAGCCAATCAGTGGAGCAGGAAACCCTTGGGGAATGGCGCGTATACCAAAGGCCATTAACCACAACCTACGCGTAGGGCCGTACAGCCATGCGTATGGTATTACACAAAGTCGTGAGAAACATGGACTGATTTCTGCCATTTTATTTATAACCACTACCCCACCATTTGATACTTCTACAAACACTTCGAACTTGCTCGTCCGATGGCGTTCTGCACTTTGTCCATGGCGCGTTCTACTATCAAGCGTTTCCGATCTATCCGGAGCAGACGAATAGAGAGTGATAATCAGCATCGAAACAATTGACCACAAAATCCCAAAAGACTATGAAAAATGAAAAACAGAAAATCGCAGAAAGCAAAGTTATGATAAGAACAGCATGTGTGTGCAATGTCACGTCACAATCTTGCGTTGCGAAAATGTTACCGCTACACTGCCCTTAGTTCCAAGCCAAGAATCAATCAGAATCCCTCATCTTACCCCAACATTTCCCCACGTCTTGCATGAACATAACGAATAGCCGTGGCTTGACTTTCTTTTTTAATTATTTGTTTGCTATATAGCGTATCAGCTCAATTATCTCAGAAAAGAATGGGAGGCCACACCCCAACCTGCCGGAATCGGGTATCAAAAAAAAACAGACCTTGCAGTTAAAGTAAAAAGATCGGGTGAGGGTCTAAGGGACTTACGTCTGCGAGACCCTGCTTTGAACCAACGAATAACTGTATACGTACACAGAAAAACCCCTCCACAAATTCAAGCTGTGTGAATATCACCCCGAAGCAGCTGTCTTCAGAAACCCGTATCCTCACTGCCCTGCAAGAATCCAAGACTCTTCCAATACGCAAGTTCAGCCGGGAAAAAAAAGAAAGGGGCTGATGGAAATAGTATGCGATGTATCATTATAGCATTGAATCTATCGTAGAGAGCAAGTTTGCAGTTAGGATAGTGAAGTCGCAGCATGTAGGATTTGAGAAAAGATATTACGTATTTCTTCTTCTTTACTTGGTATTATTTCATGTCCCTGCTTCTGTGCTAACAGCAGACAGAGGACTTGTCTCTTGTACACACATGAGTCCCTCAGCATAGAAGTACTGAAGCAACTACAACTCCCATCAGTCCCTACGAGCAAGTACACCTCAAGGCCATCACAGGAGATCCACGAGATACAGTAAAAATGCCAGATACACACACATTCCAATTATCTACACCATGCTTGATCAATATGCCCCCCATCTATTTAGAGTACAAAGAAAAACCGTAACATCGTCACCAGAGTCCATGATATCTGAGCCAAAAAAAGAACTATGAACTAAAAAAAAACCACAGAGACAAGAGGCAAAAGCATTGCCCTAATACTTCTTAGCCTCAGCAGCAGCAGCAGTACTCGCGTCATCACCGACTACAACAATAGCCGGAGCAGCTGCCTCCTCGACATCTCTCTCCTCTTTAACCTCCTTCTTGCGACGGAAGGTAAATACTTTCTTGAACTTGCTAGCGGCAGTACAGCACCAGCGGTAGACGATAACGACAGGCTTGCCGACAATCCGCGCAATGACAGCGAACCATTCATCGGGGAAGTAGCGGATGAGGGCAGCCCAGGGAATACATACAAAGCCCACAATGATGCTGATAGCCCACTGAGTCCCATCGATTCCTCCAGGCTTGATCTGGAAGGCGCGGCCACCGACAAAGATGATGAGGATTTGGAGGCCGATGATCATGACGACGATGCCGATGAAGAACCAGTTGCGGAGGATACCCTCGAG